TACCTGTAAGAGTACCTGTTGTTGTTGTTGTTGTTGTTGTTATAGGCCGTCGAGTCGGCCCCGACTCATAGCGACCCCTCCTTGGGTTTCCGAGGCAGTATCACTACGGAAGTAGGATTGCCAACCTTCCTTCTGAGGAGTGGCTGGTGGGTTTGAACCGCCAGCCTTCTGGTTAGCAGTCAAGCGCCTTAGGAGCTATGCTACCAGAGCTCCCAATAAGAGTACCTAGCACGTAGCAAGTGCTCAATGCATATGTAATCTATGAATTAACATGTAATAGGAGTGAATATAAAAGAAGTTGATTTACTTATGTACTGGGTATACAGTATATAAAGAATATTCACATGTGATTGAAGATTTAGAAAAAAGTCTCTTTTTCAGGATTATGTACTCTACTCTGAGTACAGTCTTAATTGCATTTCAAATGCTGTTTTACGTTCTTCATTCACTTACACACTGAGGGTTATTTATATATTTAAAAAAATATATACAATTTATGTCAAGATTTTTAAGATATAAAAAGCTATGGAATCCAGAACAATTTCAGTAAAAGACCAGATAAAATATTTCCAATCAGTTAACAAGTGTAAGATTTGACCACAGACAACTGGGGGAAAAATATTATTGTAGAATTAGTGTCTTAAGAACACTAATAAGATATGGTACACAATATACACAGGTAGTACCCAACTTATAACATATTCGAGTTACAATGAACCATGCTTAAGATGTCCAGTTTTTTCATACATTTTATTGTCAGTTATAAGAAACTCTGGTGGCACAGTGCCTAAGGCATTTGACTGCTAACCAGAAGGTTGGCGATTTAAACCTAGTTGCCATTCTGGGGAAGCAAGATGGAGCAACCTACTCCTGTAGAGATTTGCAACCTCAGAAGCCCATCAACTCAATGGCAATTTTTTTTCTTGTTTTTTTTTTTTTTAAATCGTTAGTTATATGTACTACATACACTGTTGCAACAGGTAATTTGATGATATTGTCACTCATGTCAACCCCCAAAGAAAAATAAAGGTCAGATTTAAATATACTGATTAATGAAAGGCAATAATTAAAAAAAAAAAAAAAAAGAGGTATTTGACTTATGTTAGAACTAACTTCCGACAGAGTCGTTGGAACAGAACCACATCGTAAGTTAGGGACTACCTGTAATTTAAAGGTCAACCTAAATGACTAAACTCCAGATGACTAGGAAAATGATGACTAACTAAGCGCTGCAGCAGTCACACTACTTCATAGTGCTGAAAGACCTGAGATTCATTTGTTCTATCAAAAATGATTTGCTTTCAAAGCAACCAAGATGTCCTTCAATAGGTAAATGTATAAATAAACTATAGTAATTCCATACAATGGAATGAGTATTTTAATAAAGTGATTTGCTAATATCAAAGGTGACAACACTCCAGAATAATAGATACTGTGTTTTCACTCAAATAACACATGCATTATATTGTGTTTGTTTTGGGTGTGAGTGTAAACAGTGCAACTCCTTCACACATTAACTTCCTATGCACACTGTGCATTATATATTTGTGCACATTATTTATGTTGTTGCTATTTTTGTTGTTAAGTTATGCAGGAGTGTTATATGCAAAAATAGAGCACATCACAGCAATAAGATTTAGAACAAATAAATGAGCTAAAGATTTAAGATAGTTTTTGCTGGACACTTTTCAAAGGTATTCACGAAACCTTCTCAAAACCCAAAGATGCATGGAAACGATTAGTCCAAGAGACTAGTAGACCAAGCGATCCTCAGCCTATAAGACCGCAAGAACAGAAGAACTAAATAGTGTCCAGCCACCACTGACAACCACTCAGAAAGGGTTCAGTGCAGGAGATCCTGAATAGAGTGGAAGAACAAAGTGGAACAAAACTCAAAATCATGAAGGAGATAAAAAAGACCAGGTTTACTGGTCTCACAGAGCCTGTTGAGACCCCCAGGACTATGGTTCCTCGTTATCCTTCAGGTCTGGAACTGAAGAACTTACTCCTATGGCCTCCAGCCAAACAACAGACATTTAGGGTGAACATTTACATCAGGTAGATACACTCCTTAGAGTGATGAATCATGGGAAAACAAAAGAGAGATAGCTCGGGGGCAGGAAAGCATAGGAAAGAAGGGTACAAGGAAGAGTTAACTACAGAGAGGAAGTAGGAAGTGAGGTGTTACACTCACCTATGTTACACTATAGGGAATTGCAGTCAATGCCATGAAACAAAATGTGTATGAACTGCTGTATGGAAAATGATTTGCTCTGTAAAGTTTCACCCAAATCACAACAAAAATGAAAAAAAAAAGAAAAATAATGTAGGAAATGGTAAAGGTTTGAATGAAATAAAGACAATCTAAATAAACTAAAAAACAACCTTCTCAAGAAAGTTCTGAACATAGTATCTACGTTCAACATGACTCTAGAAGTCAAATATATTTTCATTGATTTTACTACTTCCATTTGGCCAATCAACAAATACTAACGTAACCTTGAAGTTTTACCTAAATTCACGAACTACCAAAAGAACCAACAATATAATGTATACATTTCCTAAAAAAGCCAATGCAAATTTAGGCTACATTAATGAAAATATATTGTTCTAGGAAATTAACCATCCTGCTGATATTAAGTAGCAGAAAACATTGAGTATGGTATCCAGTGTGGCTGTCATATTATATATACGATCTCGGCATCAGAGAATTGACAAAGAAGAATGGCCAAGAGATCTAGATAGCATATTACATAGCAAGCAGCTAAGGGAACTAGAAATGTTTAGTGTGAAGAAAACATAAGAGGATGTGTGACAGTTATTCACTAGTCATGCTACCTTGGGCTGTATAGCTCAGTTTTCCCATCTCTAAACTGAAGATAATATTAGTACCCACCTTACAGGGTTGTAGTGAAAAACTATACAAAACAAAATTAGATAATACCCATATAGAACTTAATACATACATACAATGGCCCATAAACGTTCCAAAAAAGAAAGTTAGCCAATATTAAAATTATTAAATCCGTAACTTGTTTTTATCCATTCTTCCCTTGATCTTCTACACCTTCACATCTTTCATTGTCTCATTCTTCGCTCTATCTAGAATTTCTCTGCCTACTTTAAAATTTTATCTATTAACATAAAAACAATTGCTGATAAAGCAATAAGTTGCTCAAAATTCATAAAACTGTTATACTAAAAAAGGTTCAATTTTCCTGTATGTAAACTGTACTTCAAAACACCTAACATTATACACACAAACATACTTGCTTATTTTTTCAAAAAGAAACACAAAGAAGATAAATGAGAAACAAATGAAAATGGCTATTGGTGAAAAAAATGGAGTAGGGAAGACAGACGTAAGACTCTGAGTATACCTTTTTAGATCACTCTGACTTTCAAGCTACGTAAATGTTTTATACATTTGGAAAAATTAAAGAGGGAAAAACAAAACTCTAGCAAAAGGTAAGTCCTCCAATTTTTATTAAATGAAAGCAATAGTTAGAGTATTAGTATAAGAGCTCCAAGACTACACAAAATTTTAAAATATAAAACATAAATTTTGTTAAAAAGGATTCTTTCCAAACTCTTCAACTCCTATTTCTATGAAAACTCTTTATTCACACTGAATTTACATTGTCATTTAAAGTAATTTCAAAGCTATGATTTTATCACTGATTAACTCCAACTTAATTAAGAACCATCCCTGTCCTTCCCTAATTGTCATTTCCGACCAAGCTTCAATTCTAAGTGTTATTTATTTTCTGAATAGCATCTTTCAACATTATTTGCCCAATATTTTCTTCCCTATTAACAAGAAGTAAATAAAGTTATGAGAAACTGCCAAAATAATTCAAATTAGACTTTTAAGTAAGAAAACTTTCAACATTGATGCCAAAATAATTACTAGAGAATTTAAAGGCACTTGTCTTAGTCTCCCAATATAAGCCCTTCCCTCCTCTAAACTCCTACAGAATTTACTATCTATAAAACTCTTCTACCTTTTCGTTATACACAGTTGTTGTTGTTATGTGCTGTCAAGTCAGACTCGACTCATAGCGACCTCTCCTTGGGTTTCCAAGGCAGTATCACTCTATCAATCTACAGAAGTAGATTAACCCATCTTCCTTTTGAGGAGTGGCTGGTGGGTTTCAACTGCCAGCCTTCTGGTTAGCAGTCAAGTTATCCTGCTTCAAACTGCTCTTCGTAATGACTAAAATATCTAGAAGGATGGAAGGTCTTTCCTAGGGATGTCTGCTATTTTCAGAAAATACCAAAGGTATTTTACCAATTTTATTTCTGAGAAATAAAATTTTGAATCTTCAAAATGAGCCAGTAGAGGAAATAATTTTTGGCAGAGAATAAAATCAATTCATACTCACTAAGAATTCCTAAAAGAGATGATGGAGAATGACAACAGCACCAACTAGAAAATTATTGTCACCAGAATGGATTCTTTTCTTTTTTCATGGGCTGCATAATATAATGTAGGGGGCTAGCTCAGTTAAAGCACAGAAGCTCTGGAGTAACACTACCAGGGCTTCAATTCCAATCCTGACACACAGTACCTATGTGATTTCAAGCCTGAGTTTTCTCATATATAAAATGAATGTTTTATAGCAGTGTTTCAAAAGTTAAACAAGAAAATGGGTTATAGAGTTCAGCACAGAGCCTAGCAATAAGAAAAATTAAAACAAAAGATAGCCACTTGGAATTATTATGAAAAGCGTAATACTAGATATAGATAGTCTCAGATCCACCAAGCTACTATTTACAGATAATCATTTCAACTCTAAACTTCAAAATGGTAGAGAGTTTCTTAACATTTCATTCACCAATATATCCCACTGCCTAAAATAGTGGCTGACAAATAGGCACTCGATAAATATTCGTTGACAAATGGATAGATAGATGGCCAAAGAGGTATTAAATTTTATCTCTAAGATTCTTTTCCATTATAAAATTTTATTCTGAGAAAACAAAATAAAATTACTTACTAGATGCTAGGGCTTCTGCTTCAGTGGATGGAACCTTGTAGATTTTTCCTCCTTTATAGACAAAACTCCCTTCAGTTACTTTGAAATCCAGGTAGCGGGTGACTTCTGTATAAAGCAGCATCTTAACCAGCTGACCTATAAATAAGAGTCACATTAATTCAAACTATAATATAAATGTTACTACTTTTAAAATTCAGCAGGAACAAAGGCACATTTACTAATACAGCTTCCCAATTTTTTAACATTTTCCAATAACTCCTATTAAAAAAAGAAATAAAAAAACTCCAGTTTTTTCTTGAACAGGACAACTAGGATGCATACTTATTACTTACCATAGCAAGAAGTTTGTTTTGTTTTGTTTTAAAAAAGGAAACCCTTTCATGACCCACAGGACATATATCATCCACCTACACTTGGACTCTCTCAGGTTTCTTTGGCAGCTGCTATATCCCCTATAGTATGTGCTACTATCAGGCAGGGACCTGAATAACTACATCAATCTCAAGAAACAGGCCTCACTCCACCAATTCTACCACCAGAGTCTAACTGGGACATGTGTATCCCACATAATTGTATCAAAATCCACATTACCTCAAAAAAAATCTATTTTCCTTGATTTCAGTATGACTTCAACTATCGAAAGTAACTCTGGTGGTGCAGTGGTCAAGGCATTCAGTTGCTAATCAAAAGGTTGGCAGTTTTAATCCACCAGCTGCTCTGCTCTGCAGGAGAAAGATAAGGCAATCTGCTTCCATAAAGATTTACAGCCTTGGAAACGCTATGGGGCAGTTCTACTCTGTCCTACAGGGTTGCTAAGAGTCAGAATCAACTCTTTGGCAGTGGGTTTGGTTTTTGGCTTTCCATTACTGGTACACTAACAAAGAATTCAAAGCAAAAAAAAAAAAAAAATCCAAAGCAGAAAATAACTTGGTCATGAAAAGCTTTTAAATTTGTAGCTTCAAAGTTAGTAACTGTATCAGCTGATCATAAACGCTATGAAATATTTATTCAGGGTTTCAAACTGGCTCAGAATAGTTCGGTCATGGCCAAAGGAAATAAGGGTGGCATACATGTTGCAAAGCAACCAAACTCTCTTGCTCTTTGGATTTTGACCTGGGTGGGAGCTCTGGTAGCATAGTGCCTAAGGCACTTGATTGCTAACCAGAGGGTTGGTAGTTCAAACCTACCAGCCACTCCACAGAAGGAAGGTTAATCTACTTCTGTAGCAATACCAGCTCGGAAACCCAAGGAGGGGTCGCTATGAGTGGGGTCCAACTCGACAGCACATTACAACAACAACAGGAAATAGGGAGTGGTGCCTGCTCAAACATGACAGCTGATACACATTCAAAGTGAAGTGGTCAGCCACTATATCTGACCAGGGCACTGCTGCCAATTTCCTACTTGAGTCAAAATCTGACATGCAAGAGATCTGGTTGCTATACAATGTATATGCTGCCCCTGTTTCCACTGGCCATGACTGAACCATTTCAAACCAATTTGAAACCCTGTATTTAATAGCTGAGGATCTGAGTTTCTCTATACTTCTTGTATTTTAAAGAGGGGCATTTCACAGGCAAAAAATTTTTTTAGGAATTTTTACTTTTCACTTTCTAGTCAACTACATTTATTAATACTAGTGAGCATAAGCATCAAATGAAAGTCAGGTTTACAATTAGCAATATTACCCACCTATAAGCCAAAAGAATTTTGGTGTAACAAAACAAACATTTTGAAAAACCAACAAAATTAGGCACAAAAATATAGTGCTCTATTCACCTGGAGCAAAAGACAAAGAAGGAGAGTCAGGAATAGGAAAACAATATAGAATGTGTCGCTAACTGTCTCTCTAAACAACTGCCTCCTTTGTCATGTGACTAGAAGAAATGGATGGTGCCCGGCTACCGTTACTGAATATTTTGATCAAAGATTCCATAGATAAATCCTGATTAAAAGGGAGAAAATGCAGAAAAGAATGCTTTCTAGAGCACAGAGGGCAAATGAATCCCTGACACTACTGCCTGGAAATAATCTTTAAATCTTAAACCAGAAATATTCCCTGAGGTCATCTCTTTTAAAAATAAAAACCTTTGTATTGTGATTTCAGTGAACATTTATAGAGAATATCAGTTTTCCATTCAATAATTCATATACATCTTGTTTCAGGTCATTGATTGCAATCTCCTCAATGCAACATCTCCCCTCCCACTTCTTCCCTTGTTTCTCATTTCCATTCCTCCTTTTCTCCTAATCCTTGCTGCCTTCTGAACTTTGTCCTAGGACAAATGCCGTTTAAATCTCAAATGGTTCACTGTTCTAAGGAGTGTCTACTTGCCTACAGTTTTTGTTCACCTTGTAGACCTATCTATTGTTTGACTGAAAACTGAGCTATGAAGTTCAGTTCTAGGTCCAAAGGATGACTAAGGGCCATCGTCTCAGGGGTTTCACCAGTTTTTATCTGACCAGTAAGTCTGGTCTTTTTTATGATTTTGAGTTTTAGTCCATATTTTTCTCCCACTCTATCCAGGATCTTCCAATGTGATCCCTTTCAGAGCAGTTGGTGTTAGTAGCCAGGCACCATCTAGTTCTTCTGGTCTCAGGCTGTGGAGGCTAAGGTTTAGTTGGGCCATTAGTCTTTGAACTAATTGTTTTCATGTGCCTTTGATTTTCTTCACTGTTCTTTGCTCCAGATGCAGAGAGACCAATAGTTGCACCTTAGAGGCTGCTCACAGGCTTTTAAGACCCCAGTTGCTACTCACCAAAATAGAATGTAGAACATAGTTTTTATGGACCATTTTGTGCCAACTGACATTGGAGCCCCTAAGACTATGGTCCTGAGTCCCCAGACCCAGTGACTCACTCCCTCAGGGTTTTTAGTTATGGCTAAGAACCAAATTTTCCTAACTTTGCCCCTTGTATGCTCTACTATATGAATGGATATTTGCAGTCTATATAAACACGTATGTATAAAAAGCCTTTGGCAAACCTATATATATACACATACATATATATGTGTGTGTGTGTGCAGAGTCCTATTCTGTCTCATTGTTTCTCAGCTTGCATGTATATGTATCAAAAAAAAAAAAACCACCAAGGAGTGGCTGGTGGGTTTGAACTATCAGCCTTCTGGTTATCAGTCAAATGCCTTAGGCACTATGCCATCAGAGCCTCCCATGTAGATTATTATTATTACTGTTACTGCAGGACTGTATATGAACTGATGTTTACCTGTGTTGACTTTTAACTCTTGCACTCCTCTAGCATCTTACTTTCCTTGATCATTCTGTGCTACCTCCCCATTATTGTATACTGTCTTCCCCTTCCCTGAAGTCATCTTAAAACCAAACAACAGTTCAGCTTCACAAGTAAAAGAGATCTACATTGAGCATTATGCCCTTTTAAGAACTATCTATATGGGATCAAACTGGCAACAACAACTTAAAAGATTATATAGAACTTTAGGGGGCAGTGAGCTGATGCTAATAAGGGAGGAATAACTCAGAAAATGAGGGTGAGGATGGCTGTACAATTCAAAGAATATAATCAATGTCACTAAATAGTACATGTAGAAACTTGAATTGGTGTATGTTTTGCTTTGTATATTCTCAACAATAACAAAAATTTACACAACATAAAAAGAGATAAAAACATTTTAAAAATTAACAAAATTATATTAAAGCTTATTTGAAAAATAAATAGGTGAATATATGTATATGGCAAAAATAATGATATAAAACCATCAGAAGTAAATAATAGTATTTTTATAACTTTGGCGTGGGAAGAAAATTTCTCCAAAAATAAAAGAAAAAAAAGATCAATCAGTCTGACCACATGAAAATAAAAAAACCTTTACAGAAAAAATGCAAGAGCATTATAAAGGAAATCTCAAACTGGAAAAGATATTTTCAACATATGTGGAAAGAAAGGCTTACTATCTTTAATCTTTAAGAGCTCTTCAAATCAACATGGAAAAGCACAAAAACCATAACAGAAAAATGTGTAAAGCACAAGAATGGCCAATTTAGTAAAATATATACGTATATATATGTCAAATAACACCTGCAATTCATTTCGTCTTCTCTAACAGAATACAAAATAACAATATTTTGGCTTTCAGTGACAAAAATTAAAAAGAATAATATCCAGAGTTAGTAAAGGTATCAGGAAAGGGGTAGTGCCACAGTTACATTATTTGGGCAGAAATTTTTTTAAATAATATATAGCCTGGAAGGTTACATATCAATATGTTAATCATTAAATCTAGATGATAAGATTGTGATAATGTAAATTTTATTTTCTTTCTACTTACCTGCTTTTTTCATTTTAATAATTATATTACTTATCTAACCATAGATTCTATTTACTATGTACTTCAAAAAATTTAGTTAACTTTAAATTCAAAGTGAAACTCAAATGTAAGATTTCCTTCTATTAAACTATAAAATATAAAGTCAAAAAAAAAAAAAAAAAAAAGGAAAGGGTAGTACATTGTTATTTCATGTGATACAAATAGACTTAACCAACAATTTAGGTTTTCTGTATCATCTCAGAAGTACTAATATCACAGCAATTTTTAAAAAACATAGCTGCTCTTATTAAAAATATAACAAAAAGTTAATGTGAAAAAAACCATTTTTAAAAACCTATACACTAGAGAACATTAATATGGTTCTATTTCTGAAGGTCTAGATATCTAAGACTGTCACCACAGCATTAAGAGTGAAGAATGTCACAAAAACTTACAATTTTGGTATATATTATGCCACACATCATAGTTTTGTTTCTCTAGAACCTTACTAGTAATTCTTCTTTCCATTATTATCTTTCTGGCTTCTGATATACTACTCACCATACTATTGCCATTGAACAAAATCTATTTCGACATATCCACATTCCTAAGGATAATACTCAAGAGTTCGTTTCTAACATAAATTTAAGGTAAAATTCTTTACCATTAGCCATTAGGAACTTGGGAATTAAGTCAACATTCCAGTCTCTTCCTCTTCCCATTGATGCTGGTGGTGATCCTGGTATTTTAAATCTTTTGTATAACTGAAAATCAAAGCAAAAAATACCCATAATGTAACAAAATAAATTTTTTTCATCATGGTATGCAGCTATTGTTCAGTGAAGTAGTTTTGGTCTAATAACTGACACCACTACCTGAGGCGAAGTCCAACAAGGGAATTTCATTTTGTATCAGATAAAATATTTAGCAAGGTTTTAAAACATACATAAAGTAAATCTATTACTAATGAAAGCTAAAATAAACAAATACAGCAGAGGTTTGGGTTTTTTTCTTAACAGAAAAACAAGAGTTCAAGACAAATTATTTACCAATTAACACATTAGGTCTGTTGGTACATCCTTTATTTATAGAAATCATTCAAACTCACCTTGCTCCAGAACAAAAACTAAACAGAGGCTTATCTTTGCTCCTGTGAAGTGTAAGGAGTTAAAAATAAATTTTGATTTCTTCAAATCAAAAAAGGGAATTAAAATTAATTCCAGTTAATTTATCATTTATATGAGCTAATGAGAGCTCTAAGGAGCCTGGGTGGAGCAAAGTATGAAGCACTCGGCTACTAACTGAAAGGCAGGAGTTTGAAGCCATCCATAGGAATCTACCTATCTACTTCCAAAATATCACAGCCACTGAAAACCCGGTGAAGTGCAGTTCTACTCTGAAATCTATGGGCTTGCCATGTGTGATAGTTTGAGCTGTGTGTCAACTTGGCTGGACCCCAGTTCTGTGTGGTTGTTCCCATGATGGGATCAGATGACTGAGTTCTGAGTGGCCAGTCTGCCCAAGGGGAGTTTCCCTAGGGGTGTGGCCTGCTTGCAATGCTATCCAAGGCAATCTGGAAGAACGGCATTCCTTAAGGAATTGG